CGGTTTGATCCTCAGCACCACATAAAAATAAATAAAGTTCCATTGACAACTAAAAAATAGTTAAAAAAAAAAAAAAGGTGCTGTTTGACTGCCTCAGAAGAAAATCATGTAATAAAAATGATCTTAAACTTATTTCATAGGAACTGGGGCTGGGGCTCAGTGGCAGAGTGCTTACCTAGCATGTGTGAGGCACTGGGTTCAATCATCAGCACCACATAAAAAAGAAATAAATAAAATAAAGGTATTGTAAAAAAAATTTTTTTTAAACTTCACAGGAGGAAACCAAGAACCCAAAAGAGGTGACTTGATGAGCCGACTGACGGCTGGGGGTGTAGCGCAGTGGTCAAGTGTGAGCGGAGTAAGCATGCCAGGGGCTGCGAGAGGGTAGCTGGCCAGCAAAGACAGGACTAGATCCAGGGTCCAGTCTCCACTTCCACAGTGCGGCTCCCAGGAGGAGCACTTCCTGACTGGACACATCCTTCAGGATTTCCACGGAGGATATCCAAGCACTGTGCATTTCCCTAGAGTCCAGTTTCTGGCACTCCTGTCTCATCTCACATTGACTTCATCCACTTTATTTCCTCAAGAAATATTTTTCAAGGAAAAAAAAAGAAAGGGAGTGGAATTTCAAATTTAAAAAGTATTAAAGAAGAACATAAAATTGCAGTGCCCATAAACGATTCTGCCATAACTCCGCAAACGAGCTAACTGGGAAAGCACTTGTGAGCTAAAAGGTGCCTCTGGATAGATGGAGACCCTGAAAAGCACCAGCTGGTCGTGTTCCTGCGGTCTCGCCTGCAGGCCGGCGCGGTGCGGGGGCGCTGGGCTCGCGGGAGGCTTGAGAACCTGGGGCACGGCCCGCACGGAGGACGCGCCGCTAAGGGGCAGTACCGGCACCGCCCGCCCGCCCTTAAGCGGGGCCACGGGCATGACGGATGAGATTCCTCGTGCGCAGCAGGCGCCCCACAGGAAGGTGAAGCAGCGAATCCCGCCCCCCATCCCGGGGCCGCAACACCCACCTAGCCCGAGCCAAGGCACCGACAGGAGCCACAGCGCCGGCACCAAGAGCCCCATGCCGAGGACGCGCGGGGCGCACAGGGCGCGCACTCCAAGGGGCCTTTGCGCACGCGCACGCACGCCGCCTGCCGCCCGCGCATGCGCACGACTCGAGTGTCCTCGCACCAAGAACGCGGACCCAGCCTGGCGCCGGGCAGGCCGTGGCCTCCAACAGGGTGTCAGCGTTCTGCCATTGCCAAGACCACTTCCAGGCACTCGCGGGGACGTTGTCGAGCTGTGCGCAAAGCCGGCCACAGCTTCTCCTTGGAGAATGCGGTACTGTCGCTGGCGCCAACAATTCCAGGAAGCCAAGGTACCACGAGCTGACTACAGTGGGCTTGAGTATTTTGCAAAATCATTTTAAGTTGTCAGCCTAAAAAAAATTTTCATCTTATCCAGTTGCTCTCGACCACCTCCATGGGTCTTCCAGCCGTCCATTTTAACACTTTATACTTGCGTTGTTTCTTGGCCTGCAGCTCACTGGTCTTTCCTATCTACTACCAAGTAACTTTCCCCCTTTTGGTGGTCCTGGGGCCAAATCATACAGGCCGGCCTTGAACGTGGGATCCTCTTGCCTCAGCACCAGTTGTTGGAATTACACACCTGGCAGAGTAAGTGTTCTGAGGGAGCATTTTAGGAAAGCTACTTCAAAAGCATGTAAAAGGTCCAAATGACCCAGTTGAAATTTATACCACAAAAATAAAAATTCTTTCAAAACCCAAACATATTCATGTTCCTTTTTTTGGTGGTACTGGGAATCAAAGCCAGGGCCTCAGGTGTGCTAGCCAAGTGCTATATCCCTGAGCTATGTTCCCAGCAGCATCTAGTGTTACTTTACACTAGCATAAAACTTGAATGTTTAACAAGAAACTGTTTCATTAAAGTAAACCCAAAGAAATAATCAACTCTTTAAAATGTTTTTTTCAAGGAATATTTAATAAGGCAGATGACGTGATTATCTGACATGTAATTTTATGTCACTGTAATAAACAAAACATCCTGTTCACTGGGTAAAAAGGACTTGCTTTATGCATGTACACTCAGTGCAATTTAAAAAATACTGTAATTATAATTTCACACCATAATTTGAATGTATGACCAATTTTTTTTTTTTTTTTTTTTCATATGGGAGAAGAAAATTCCTTGAACAATCATTTGAGGCTGGTACAAAAATCCACCACTATATCCCTCAGGATCATTCCATAGTCTTCAGTTTCAGATGACACAAGAGTGGCTTAAATTCAACCTTTTAGAGAGGACATTCCAGCTCGCATGATCTCATCAACCAGGAGAATGTTGGTGGCAATCACAGTGCTAAAAGGGAAACAGATAGCTCAAAAAGGAATCCTTAACTCAACCTGCTGTTCCCAACTAGACAACCTGCTGTTCCCAACTAGACTATACAAAACACATCCAGCTGATGTCCTCTTTCTACTCAGGGCTGGCTGGCTGAGTCTCTACCTTACAGATTACATCCTTCAGAGGATAACAAAACTCAGAAGGTACCACCATGAAGAATATGCTGATTCCCAAAGGCAAGCAAGCTGCCCGTCTACCTAATACCTTTGTGTCTTGGTCAAGTCTTAATCCTGTCTGCCCATGCAGTGCTGGGGACTATACCCAGGGCCTCACATGTGCTAGACAAGCCCTCAACCACCAAACTCTATCCTCCTCAGCCCTTTGAAAGCTTTTTTTTTTTGGGTGGCACTCAACCACTGAGCCACATCCCCAGCCCTTTTTTGTATTTTATTTAGAGACAGAGTCTCAGTGAGCTGCTTAGTGTCTTAGTGTGCCTTGCTTTTGCTGAGGCTGGCTTTGAACTTGCAATCCTGTCTCCGCTTCCCAGCTGCTGGGATTACAGGCATTTGCCCCTACACCTAGCTCTGAAAGATGTTTTAATTTTTATTTCCCCAAACTTACCAGGAGTGAAGAAGCTGTTTCTTCACACAGTAGTTATCCCATACGCCCACTTCTGCTGCAACCATTGGCTCACCTGAAAGGTAACCAAGTCTTCTTAAAATATAGTATATCATTATATCAGACACAGTCTAAAGGTATAGGGAACACTATTTTATGAAGTGTTGCCAATTCTAAAACAGAATAAAGCCATTGAAAACATTTAAAATATAAAAGAACGTTTGGTGCTGACTTGCTTATTACTCATTCTCTCCTCTGTAACTACACAAAATCCTCCACAACACCTCTGATGAGTGGCTAACCTCTGCTTAGATGCCTTCCAGTGACAGGGTACTCTCATGGGTTACCACATGCTTGGACATCCCTCTGTTATTTACTATATTTTCATTTGTCAATCTGATCACATAATATAGTCTTTTAATCAGTTCCTGATTAAAAGACTGGGTTAATACAAAAACCTTTCATTATCAACAAAGCTTCATACCACCACTCAGCAACATCTCCAACAAATCTGTACTTGGGCATCCACCCCGGCAGAGCCCTGAGCTCCGGACAGCACTGGCATCAAGTAGCAGAGCCGCTTGCCAAGACTCTTTCCAACCCTCCTAGAGTGACCTCACATGCTTGGTATTGTTCTTGCCCTATAGAGAGGCCTTCTCTTACCTGTGTTCAGGTCCACGCCTACAAGCTGACCCGATTCTGAATGTTCTGCTTGAATCTTAACTAGTGTTTCTTGAAGGTCAAAACCAGAGTTCTGAGCAAGAACCTAAAGTAAACAAATTTAATTCTTGAAAAGGCAGGAATTAAGAAGTTCTACAACAAATGAACAGTATTTACAATCCAAAAAATAAAAACACAAAACCTCATAATGAGGGCTGGAGATATAGCTTAGATGGTGAAGTGTTTGCCTTACATGCACAAGGCCCTGGGTTCAATCCCAAGCACCATAAAAAAACCCAAACAAACAGAAAACAGTGGTTTAAAATAACAAAGTTATTTTATAACTTTTAACATCAGTTTAAAATAACAAAAAGCAAGCTTGTACTCAAGCATGATGCCTTTACTGCAAATATTCTTAAAACAGTTCTCTTGTCATCCAAAACCTCAAGGACAGTCAAGTCTCCCAGAACAAAAGGCTTTGAGATGATATGGATAGTATAATCGCAGGGGCTCAGAAGGCTTAGGCAGGATGATCACAGTTCAAGGCCAACCTCAGCAATTTAGCCAAGACCTTGTCTCAAAATAAAAAGGGGCTGGTGTTGTGGCTCAGAGGGAGAGCACTCAGGCACTCGTTTAATCCTAGCACCACATAAAAATAAAAGACACTGTATCTGCCTATAATTAAAAAATAAATATTTTTTAAAAAGTAAAAAGGGCTGGGGATGAGGCTCAGTGGTTAAGTATCCCTGGGTTTAATCTCCTGTACCCCTCCCCGCAAAAAAGTATATAGATATGATGGGAGTACAAGTGTCAAGTAGAAAAGGATTCAACCTGCTCACTCAAAATTCACATTATGAAGAAAACCTATATTATAAAAAAGGTTTACTCAGTTTAATTGTTTTGATGTATTTAATAACTGTTCAAGTTTTCACACCTTGGGAATAATGAGCAATGCATCAGCAAACGCCTGGACTCCAAGTTGGGCCCTGCCTTTCACACTGGGCTTATACTTAATCAGGGCTTCTGCCATGGCCACCTCCACTGCACCAGCACCTGGAACCACACAGCCTGTTGTGTGGAGAAGAGGAGAAATGATAATAAGCTCAAGAAAAATGAAGAACCAATTACAAGGAAACAAGATATATATGAAAACCACTTATGAAAGACATTAACTTCTTAGGAATCCGCCGTTTTCATAACAATTTAACAACAGCATTGCACTTGTCTGCTCTGCCCCATACTACTAGACAAGCTCTCCACCACTGAGTGACACACCCAGCCCACATGCAAAGGGACAAACCTAACAGCACATCAGTTCAATTGAGCTGGCGTTCTGGCAACTCTCGTGAGCATGGGTTAGTTCATTTGCCTGTATTCACTTTTAATAGTGGCACACTATGAAAAACCTTAGCATACCAGTTATCATAAAAGGAAGACTTTACTTTTGCATGGTGTCTGGCTGTGTAAAATACTGACTAAAGTACACAGTATTCAGCCATGCTTTTTACACTAGCAAAAAGAACAAGGTTTAAACACAATGAGCTCTTACCATCATCGAGTGCATTTTTGACTGCCCTTAAGCCATCGCGTATAGCATCTTTGATCTGAGTAAGTGTGTGCTTATTTGGTCCTTTGACTAATAATGTGACAGAACGGGGATTGTTACATTTCTCAATAAAGGTGAACTTCTCTTCTCCCTGTGTGTGAGAGAGATTTTCAAAAACAGAATATATACAAAGAGTGAACAGGAGAGGAGTGTGCGGAGAGGATAAATAGCATATTAATCATATTAATTATACTGACCATATTAAAGCCAAATTTAGTAAAGATTGTGATTTTTTTCCATGCCAATGGAAAAAAACAAACAACAAAACGTATATAAACAAAGAAAAACCTGATCCTGAATTTAAACTTTTCTACTGAGGAATTCAGGTTTGGGAGGAAAACACACTTACCAAGGTATACTCATAGACAAGTCCTGCATGGCCCAGGCAGTCAGGACTGAGGTCATCAAGAGAATTCAGAGCCACCCCACCACAAGCAAGAGTCAGCCTGAAAGGGTGAAGTGTGAAACGTGTCAGCAGCATGAGCAGTTACGCTCAAAGAGAAGATTAACCACTGTCAGGAAGAAATCTCCAGAATTACAGGCTAAAATTGCATTCTCAAAAATATTTCAACCTAAGCCTTTCCATCCATCAACAATCAGCTGAAAAGGATCTTTTCTTTTAACCTGTTAAAGCCACCCTCCCCTAAAGTCAGCAAACAGGCTTCAAATATGACCCTGCACCCCTGGTATTAGGGATCGAATTCGGGGCCTTGCATGTGCTAGCCAAGTGCTCTAATGAGCCATATCCTAGTCTTTTAAAATTCTATTTTCAGACAGGGTCTAGGTAAGTTGCTCAGGGTGGTCTTGAACTTGTAATCCTTGTGCCTCAGTGCCTCAGCCTCCCAAGCCGCTGGGATTACAGGTGCGTGCCATCACACCCAGCTCTCTGGAACCTTTTCACAAGAAAAACCAGGGGTAGGGTGTGTCTTGTTCTGAACAATGCTCATAGAATTATTCACAATAGCCAAAAAATAGCTACAACCCAAATGTCCACCAACAGATCAAAGATAAAACATGGCACACACAATGGAATAAAGAGTGAGATTCTGGCCTGATACAGCATGCAGACTATGCCAAGTAAGTAAATAAAACAAGCCAGATACAAAGGACAAACACTATGACTCCATTTACAGGAGGCACTGAACTCAGACCTGTGTTCACCAAGGTAAGGAGAGGGAGAATTGGGAGTAACCTATCTGGATGATAAAAGTTTCAAGATGCACACTGGTGGTAGCTGCACAACAGTGTGAATGCAGTAATGCCACTCCTTGGAGCCCTTAAAGTGTGAGATGTTATTTACATGATGCCACAAAAAAGTGAAAAATAAAGGAGGAAAAGAAAAATCCTAATTCACTTGCCAACTAGAGAAATTTACGTTATTCAGATGATCTGCTCATACCTTTCCATATTTCTCCGTTTAGCTCTGCGCAGAGCTACTATGCCTTCTTTTGCAAGAGCATCCAAAGAAAAGGGGTCAATCCCCTATAAAAATAAAATCAGTTTCAGTATATCTTGCCTTAAGAGTAGAAAAGAACAACAAACTTTTCTTTTGTAACTCTAATTTTCATTCTCACCTTCTGATTGATAACAACAAAACCTTTATCTGAATCACCACAGACTTTCTTTTTCAGTTCTACTATTTTTTTCACTCTATCTTCAATAAATTTTCTTTCAGCTTTTACTAGTTTCTCTCTCTCTTCTGCACTCTTGTAAAAAAAGCCAGAATTCACTTCTCTGTTAGAAAAAGAGAAAAAATGTTTACTGAGAAGATAGCAGCCTGAGAAACTTGATTCATCTTAAAGCTTACAAAGTCCCTGAGCCCCAATCCTGCCCCTTGTACATTGTTAGTAGTCATATGCTCCTGGCCTCCCAAACCCAAATGAGTTATTACTGCCCTCACAGTGGGCAAAACGAATCTCAAAAGGAACTTGCTGCAAAACACCAAGCTCCTCCACTCCCCCTTAAAGGGGCGACCACTCACGTTTTTTCATACTCCAGCGATACATTGCATGTGAGAATGTATGCGTTTTCCACTCTCTTCTTCATGTCAGGGTGGCGGGCCCCATGGTCCAAAACAAGCCCTCTGATTAAGCTGTTAAAAGACAAGAATTCATTGTTACTTGTGGGAGGCCATCCTCTACGTGATTTGAGTTACTCCCTAGCTGGGCGAGAGGCGCTTAGACACATCTTTGTGTCCAGAGCTTTCCCCACCCTTCTCAGGTCCAAGGGCTTGTCCGTGTGGAGGTGTGTCTGGCCACTACCCTTAAAGACCCAATTGTCGCACCATGACTTTGGGACACTGCCCCCCTTAATTTTCATTGGATGGGATTTTCCCCAGAATTTTTTGTTTCCCAATAAAAGTCCACTCCCTGGTGTGTTCTCTCTCACTGGCCTGTTCAGTAAACCTCGCTACCCTAATAGGTAGCTTGAAGCTGGAGGTAGAAGAAGCCGTCCTGGAGCTGGTTTAAAGGTAATTAGAGTCTGTCTTTTTAATTCAAACTCCCTTCGGATTTCTCAAGTAGCTGAACCTTCATTTATGAAGCCTGTGCTGGCCGTGGGCTAAAGTTACCGATTTCCAAAATAGGAGTCTTTCACTGACAAAACTGAAACACTCAAAAGATTATACTGACAATTTTTATACCATTAGTTTTCTCTCTTGAATTATCTGAAGTTTCTAGTGAAACCTAGGGGTGGTCAATTGTGAAAAAGCAGTATTACAGAGCGCAAGACAGGCTATTCCAACAAAAGTAACACCACTATCTTCAATGGAAAATTCTGCAGATAGTCTCAAATGGCAGACATCAAACTCTTGATTGCCTCCTTCAAATAAATATTATCTCGGTCTTTAAAAAACACAGCATACCCTCCCCGGTCTTCAAGAGGAGATATCACTAGGAACAAATGGACTACCCTGCAATTTATTCCATATAAATTATGTTTACCCAAACATATAAATATTTATTTTTGTGAACATCCAACTTATAAATCCACTTTATTATTATTTCAGGGCTGGAGACTGGCTCAGGGGTGGAGCCCCTGCTCACAGGCACAAGGTTCAACCCCAATAGACACTCAGAAGTGTTCAACAGAACTCTATCACCTACCTTGTGTCAGTTTCAGATTTATGTTTCATCTCCATGATCTCAACCATGAACAGGTCAATAGGCTCATCTTTTTTTTTAATGGCCAAAATGGAGTCCACTACAGCCTACAACAGGAGTACAACTGTTATATAAATTCAATTTGCAAAAGTTAAAAACATTGGGGGTTGGGGTTGTGGCTCAGCAGTAAAGTAGGCTCGCCTAGCATTTGTGAAGCTCTGGGTTCAATCCTTAGCACCACATAAAAATAAATAAATAAAATAAAGAAATTATGTCCAACTAAAAAATAATACCCCCCCAAAATAAAATAAAATGTTAAAATATTGAAGTTCTTCTTTAGAAGTTTTAAGTTTCTTTACTTTAAAATCTGATTTTTTCCTACGAGTAATGAGACTACAGTAGAAATAAAAGGCTCTAGTCATTTACAGTTCTAAAACATTAAATAATCACTCCTATTTTGCTGAAAATACTAATAACTATAGCTTACTACAATTACATGAAGAACTAAGAGTCAGAAGATTCCCAACATGGAAAGGTCAATACCCAAGGAAGCAGAAATGCTAATTAATTACCCTGATTTGATTGTTATACACTGGACACATGTATTAAACCATCACATATGCACCATATTTAAATTACTGATTAACTAGGAACTTTCTAATTAAACCTTCATTTTATATTCCTTTCAAAAAAATTTTTTATCAGCATTTTAATGAAAGTTCCAATTGTATTTTTATAACCTGGTGAGGTGAGTTCTTCTTTGTATTTTCTCACTTCATGTTTCAGGGAACTGGATTAAATATCACTGCCTGGACAGAAATGAACCTAGTTACTTCAAATGGTGGACACTGAAGGTTTCAGACAGCACCTTCTAATTGGAATTGCTAAGAACACCGATGCTTCTGCTCTAAGGTATTTTCCACACCACACACACCAATTGAACACATACCTCTGTCAGGATGTCTGCAAGTTCAGCATGAACTTTGGTACGGAGAGACGTTCTGGCCACATCTATGAGTGTCTCCCTGTCCATCTCTCTGCTTACTTTGATTTGTTCCAAAAACTGAAGGGCCTTTTCCTTTGCAGCTTCAAAACCTTCAGTGATTATTCTAGGATGAAGACCCTGTAATAAACACACAATCAAAACACTGCCACTAAACCTGGCACCTTCCATTAGATGCAATTGTTCATGGAAGTTCAGATAATTTCTGAAGGGCGATTTGGGATCACTCACACCTTTTAACATAACCAAAACAGCATGATGTGCTGACTTTTTGAATACATTTGAAAGAACAGAATATACCTTTCAATGCAGAGGAAAAGAACAGACATTGCTCTAGCACAGCGTCAAAGCCAAGTGAACTATAAAGCACACTTGGGTGTTTGCTGTGCAAATCACCAGGGATAATATCAAAACCTAAAAGTGATCCCTAGAAATCTGTTGTTAGTAGGAACTCCCTCACCCCCATTCTGGGGATTAAACCAGGGTCTCATGCATGCTAGGCAGTGCTCAACCACTGAACTACATCCTTGGTCCCATTTTATTTTTGAGACAAGGTCCTGCTAAATTGCCAATGCTGGCCTCAAACTTGAAATCCTTCTGCCTCAGCTTCCCATGTATCTGGGATTCCAGTTGTACACCTCCACGCCCAGCTAGCAGGAACATTTTAACTTTTCTACAAGCAATCTGAAATTAATTCACATCTTTAGCAATCAAAATAAATGTAGACTAAACATCTGCTCGCTCTCTCTTCATAGGGAATTCTGACAGTGGATTAGTACTCACGGAGGTTT